CCCCAAAACCCCAAAACCCCAAAACCCCAAAACCCCGATATAGAAATTTAGAGTTGAAATTTTTTTAATCTGCTTCTATATCTGATTTAGCAAAATAATCTTCTATTATCACCTTTAGCAATCTCTTTATATTCTCATTCTTCTCTTCAATATAAATTTTTTCAAGCAGCCTAAAATACGAGTTAGTCATAATTCCCCATATGAAATCCAACGCAACAGAGAGGAAACCTCTCAAGTGCTAAAATTAAGTCTCAGAAGGAATCCTCTATATTGTCCTAAAACCCGTATATTCCAGCCCTCTTTCCCCCTCTTACTCATTTCCTTGGATCTCAATGAAAGTCTGAGCATAGATATTCTCCTCTTGGTCTATGTTCTTCCTAAAGTCAAACAGAAGTTTAAGCCCGAAGAGGATCATTCACTTAGACTTCAGAGTTAAGCCAGGAAGCTCCAGAAGTTCTCTAAATTATGAACGGGGGATTTACTTGTATTTTTGGATCAGGCTGTTCTCGTATAAACTACTTACCTTTACTCCATTCATAAGTGCTTTCACAAAGATTTTTGAGAATATTTCATATCAGAGAAGTCAACTCTTTTAGAGCTTTGGCATCAGAGACTGTACCTCAAAGTTCAAGAAGCATATCTAGTATTTCTCGGTTCTCAATAACACTTTTAGCAGCATCATGAGACTCACAGATAACATTACTTAGAGTAAAAAAGGCTTCAAACTGCATCTCAAATTTATCAGATCTAGCAAATCTAGTAATTGCTCTCAAAAATCCTTTGTTGAGTAACCTCAAACCTAGGTCTTTGATTTCACCTTGATAAGCGCTTAAATTTCCCGCAACTCTGATGCCTTGGAAGGCTATTGATCCGACTTCATCTTCCATCCAGCTAATAACTGTCTCCTCTACATCAGTGAAATGATAATAAATGAGATCAATAAAAGTATCGCTCAGTTTGGTAACTTGAAAGACAACCTTAGCTATTGTCAAGCGTACATCTACTTCAAAGTCGGAGTTAGGTATTTTATCACTCTCTCCAGCGAACTCACGACCAGCTGTTTTCAAAATATTAGTGAAAGGTTCTATTACTTGAGAGAAGTGCTTTTTGTCGAGATTTTTAGTCACTACTTCCAATATCTCAATATTAGACTTTGTGATTTCTTTCCTTATTTCATCTGCGAGAGGCACCTCCTCTGTTGGTATTGGCAGCTCTTCTAATAAATTATGGGATAGGAGTAATTCAGCAATATCTTTATCCATCACTAAGTTAATGATTACCCATAGGACCCTCTGAATTATCTTTGCATTGATTAAGTCAAGCTCACTTCGCAAAAGACTAATCAGACTCTGAAGAAAATCGCCTTTAGATCATAGGGTGTGGAACATTATTGGGAAATTTGATTCTCTTCACCCCGTTCAATAGCTCAGCAATGTCAAAGTATCATACTTCAGATATCCAGGGGAGGATTTCAAAATCTCAGTGAATTTTGGTAACAGCTTGATTAAGATCCTATCACTATGCTCCTCAATATCAGATTTAGAATGAGATGGTTTAATTAGTAAACGATCACATTCTCAGAATTCTCACTCATGCGACCATTTTTTCCAGACTGTCAGTATTCATAAAGCATTCTATGAGGTGTTCGAACTTCTCTTCACCACTGTGTTCATCCAAGATACCTATTAACTGCATATCCTTCTTGACTTGCTTCTCTACATCTTTGATGTCCATTTCATCATTGAACTCTTTTTCCAAATTTTCTAAAGAATTTTCATTAAAATCTCACCTTGTATTCTAACATTCCTCTTGAGCATAAAAATCTGGTTCCTTTTCTTCTTCCGAAGGGAGACCATGAAGTCACCCCTCTTCTGTTTGACTTTGTCGATATCTGGGTGAGACTTAAACTCAGCTTCTCTCTTTTGCCGCCGGGTATCTTCCATTTTAGGTAATTACACTCAATATTTATGTAAAAGTCCGGGGTTTTGGGGTTTTGGGGTTTTGGGGTTTTGGGGTTTTGGGGTTTTGGGG